TTGATAGGGATTGCATTGAATCTATAGATTGCTTTGGGTAGTATAGCCATTTTGACAATATTGATTCTTCCAATCCATGAACACGGTATATTTCTCCATCTGTTTGTGTCCTCTTTGATTTCTTTCATCAGTGTTTTATAGTTTTCTATGTATAGGTCTTTTGTTTCTTTAGGTAGATATACTCCTAAGTATTTTATTCTTTTTGTTGTAATGGTGAATGGTATAGAAGATTTAAAAAAGTAATATTAGTGTCCTCCTCCTGATCCAGAATCCAGTCCAGGGAGCTGTATTGTACTCAGTACTCATCTTTTCGTAATCTGCATGACTCTCCTCTGCATTTCTGGTATTCCTTCCTCTTTCGTTTCCCACAGTGGATCAGTTCCCATCTGTGCTTCCCGCTATTACAAAAGACTGCAAACGTCAGCCTGTGTCATTTATAACTGGACTGTTCCTCCAAAATAAAGTTCCCTATAAAAATCCAAACAAAGCAAAGCAGAAAGAGAGTAGCATATTTAATTCAGTCAGTCTCACTGTTTGACCTCGAGTTCTCCTTCTCATGTAGGTCCATTGTTGTTGTTTAGTTGCTAAGTTGTGACCCCATGGACTGCAGCACGCCAGATTCCTCTGTCCATGGGGTTTCCCAGGCACGAGTACTGGAGTGGGTTGCTGCTTTCTTCTCTAGGGGATCTTCCCAACCAGGGATTAAATCCGCATCTCCTGAATTGGCAGGCAGGTTCTTTACCACTGAGCAACAGGGAAGCCCACCCAGGTCCACTGTGGCAGAGTGGAAAGAGCATAGCATTAGAGAATGCAGGGGTGCATCCTGATGGTTTAAAACCAGCTGTTTAACTGTGGCCCAGTTAACTTCTTAGCCTCAGTACACTGAAATGTAGTCAGCTCATAAATTTTCAGAGATACTGTCTTATGTAGTAGAGGGTACATTGCTATAGGTTTCTGATTTGAACAGGTTTTATATCTATTCTTGGAACTTTGAGTCTCTGTGAGACTTTGAAGAAAAGGTTAACATTTCTGTAGTGTATGTAATTTTGCAACAGTACTCATTTGATCAAGTCATTTTATATCCTCTGAGGAAAATCAAGATTCCTCAAATTAGTTAAAATGATAACTCCAGTTTCCTCATCAATAAAGGAAGGCTAATAATGCCTTCTTGATATTCTTAATCACGAACTAAATTTCAGTGTTTGCGGATAGAATTAGATTATTTCTCTTCTAAATTTCAGAGAGCTTTTAAATCAAGAAACAGACTTCCAGGGATGAATAAAGCGCTCTGGGAGAAAGGATCCTTGCTGAAGAGGGGAGGAGATGGGCAGGTTGGACAGACAGTGAGAGTGAGCTTCTGACAGCTGTGGGCACCCGGGGAACGAGGCCTTCCTCTTTTCTGTTGGAGAAGGAATGTCTAGTCGTTGGCTCTCAGCAGGCACACAAGCAACAGCGAGAACAGAAGGCTCTCCTGAGTTCTTAGGTCATCTTGGAGAACCAGCCACCGGCCCTTCCTTTTCTGGTGCCGCCGTGGGGGTCCCGACCAGTACTGAAAGGCTAGGTATTCAGGGGCCATGCCACTTGGGCATCTCAGGGTTGAACAGGTGCCCATTAGTGAACCCAAACCAGGCACCAACTTATACTTCAGACATACCTGTTAGAGCCCAGATTTTTCCTGCAGTGCCTCAGTCAGCTGTGCATCAAAAGGCTCACTGACTTTTAGCTACTTTAAGGGAGAATTTAGTGACCAAAGAACGTATGTCTAGTTTCAAAGTGGCATTTTCCAGACAGACACCAGGCCTCTGGGAAGAGCTTGTCCAAGGGATCTGTTACCAAGATCCTTCATAGAGTCTGTGTTTTGGGATGAGTGAGATGACTTGTAAGTCACTGCTGACTGCTCTGTGGGCACAGAGCTCCTATGTATGCACATCACCTGTTCTACCCTTCCCCATCTCTGCTGTTGACATAAATTTCTAATTTTTCTCTCTATTCTTCTAGACATCATCTTCCATATTGTCAGGTAAAAATTGTTAAGTATTTTCTACAGCTCAGCATAGGTCTCTATGCATGGGATTATGAGAAACACTAATAAACTGTAGTTGAAAACCTAAAAATAACTTTAGAGAGTGCTTTGACTTCCAGTTTTCATGGAAGAAAATTTAAAATCATGTGCAGAAGATCTTTGCAGCCTTTTAGGTTAGACAAAAATTTTCTCAGATATGATACCAAAGGCATGATCCATAAAAGAAAAAAAATAAAAAATAAAAAAAAAGATAAGTTAGACTTCATCAAAAGAAAGAACTTCTCTTCTAAAAACACTGTTAAGAGAAGATATAGGCTAGGAGAAAATATGTTCAAATCACATATCTGATAGAAGGTTTGTATCCAGAGTATATGAAGAATTTTCATATAAGAAAACAACTCAGTTTTTTAAATGGGCCAAAAGTAAGTTCACACAGAAACCTATATATGAATATATGTAGATCTGTATACTTCACTCACAAGTAAACAAATGAAACGTTGTGGCCAAAAACTGGCAACAACCCAGATGCCCTTCAGGTGGTAATGGATAAACAAACTGTAGCATATCTGTAAAATAAAATACTCTTCAGTACCAGAAAGGAACAAGCTTCTGATACATCCAGAAATATGAATGAATCATAAATACAATTATGTTAATGAAAGATTCAAAAGGTTACATACAGTCTAATTTCATTTATATGACTTTCTGGAAAAGGCTAAGCTGTAAGAATAGAGAAACAGATTGGTGGTTGAGACCAAGTTTAGCTGAGGGTCAGGGGAGGAGTTGACCTTCAAAAGGCATGGGAGATTTGGGAGTGTGGAACTGTTCCATGGACTAATCATGGTGGTGATTACACAACTGTATGTGTTTATCTAAACTAGTGCAGCTATACACTGAACAGGGTCAGTTTTGCTACATATAAATTATACATGTAATATACAGCAGTGGGGAACCAAATCCCGAGGGAAGGCTGGACAGACAGAGCATAGAGGACCTTGTGACTTCCTGGAGAAAATACTGAGACTTCGTGGTGGGCCTCTATTTTTTGTAGTTTTGAAAAGAGGTAAACAAAGTAAAGTAAATGTTTAAAGAAGGACTGTCTGACGATTGTTAATCATTTTCGATGGCCCACCTTTCCCATCTTCTATGCCTGTGACCTCAAGGAAGTAATAACACCTCTTTGACTGCAGCATAATTGCCACCTGTATGGGCATTTACTATAAATGCGTAAGAAAATCTATCTAAATGAGGTAGTCACAAGGCATTTTTAATAGTGGGTTTATCTAGGAAGTGGGATTAAACTGTTTAGGGAACTTCTTTATTATTAAAAGATTTTTTTTACCTTGAATATATTGTCACTTTTATTATTTGATAAATAAATAACAAAAAGATATTTGAAAGAATCACAGATGACAAGCTTTCTGAATATTTAAATGTGGTATGATTTAGTTCACACATAATTTTCAGGAAGACCATAACCTATTCACAGGGATTACACTTCTGCATTAGAAGGAAGGCACTTACTGTTCATTTTGTACAAGTTTTCAGAGTCAGAAGTACCACTACTTTATCTGCAGCAGAAGGGTGTTTGACCAAAGACAAGGAAGAACAGTTTTTTCCTTAGGTGGCCTCATTTTATGAGAACATACAGCATGGGAATTTTATGATGAAGGTATAATCAGTCATTTCTTTGTAATCTTATGGCATCTGGGAGGTTTGGGGTGGAACTTATCCTTCCATTGACTTCTTGCCTCCTGCAGTGCCACTCACGTCTAGGTCATGAGTGCTATAGAGACACATGTCAGCAGGTCTTTCTAAGCCAGAGCTATTATATGAGTATCAGGAATTTCAGATACTGCCATTGAGAAACTTCTCTGAAGTGTGTTGAGGCCCATTTCATCTCCATCCTGCTCCAAATGCGTCTTTATCTTGGCAGGTTTCTGTGGAAAGGTGAAAAGCCACTCTACTACTCAGCCATTGACAGGCCAGTGGTGTATAAAAGAAGAGGTGAGTGGGGTTTCTTCTCGTTAACACCAAGTAACAGCCCAGCTATAGAAAAACTGTGTTTTAAATTGAAAAGTGAATGCATAAGTCCTTTTCTCAGTTGTTTAACAGGTGTCCCATTGCACATCCAGAGAAACGTCCTTCTGTGTTAAAAATGTCTGTAGAAATCTATTTCAGGAACATTGCAATATTCAAACAGACCTTAAGTTCTCGCCAAAATCTTAAATGCTATAAATCTATACTTTCAGAACTCTTTATTTGGAGAACTGCTTTTTTAGGTTGGTTTTTTTTTGTTTTGTTTTGTTTCTGTGGTAAAATATATGTAACATAAAATTGACCTTTTTAGCCTTTTCAAGTTGTTCCTCGCCATCCCTCTTCCAGTGTCAGTTTCCCCTAGTTATGCTCCTACATCACCGAGGAACACTTGTCAAAACTACAAAACCACCATTGGTACATTACTATCAAGTAAACTACAGACTTTATTTGCCATTTAATGTGAGTTTTTATTTCGTTTCTTTTCTCTTCATTTCCAGAAATGGTGGTGAGTCTACAGAAACAGTTTAGCACACTGGTGGATTCAGCACCAAACATTGAAAAAAAAAAGCCTTCAAGTTTTCAGTTCAACTGGACTGAAGAGGACAGCGAGAGGCCTTGTTTCCATAGTCATAGCCTCCAGGGAGTCCTGCAGCAGAAAGGCCAGTCCCTGAGAACCAAGAATTCCCTCTACTGGCTGAGTACTCAGAAGTTCTGTAAAAGGTGTGCGGTGCTCTTAGAAATCATGGGATAAAAACCACCCTGAAACCTCTAGTTTGGCCTGAAGTAGTAGTCTTTTTCTCATTAAAAAAAAAAGGCCACCTATGATTTAAAGGAGTTGGTCATAATGATAGGCAGATGTGTTATTGGTTGGACTTTAGAAAATGGTGAGCTTACAGTCAAGACCCACACAAGGGGCAGGAAGTTAGGACCTGATGCGTTAGTACCATCTGCCTTGTCTGCCTGCATAGTCGGTCCTTGGGGTTAGTGGGGAACCTACACCTTTGTGCTCTTCACTTGGCGTGATCAGTGCATTTTTGGATGTTCTTCATGGGTATAATCCTGTAACGTAAGACAGTTAGTTACAAATAGACCTTGGTATAATCAGAGATGAAGCAACCAAGATTTTTTTCTCTGCGTGAGTTATAAGGCTAAGCAATACACTCTGTGCATCAAGCATGGTTATCACCATGGTTTTATGTACCAAAATCATCTGTCAACTTACCTTGCCTATTCAGATCATAGCCTAGAACCACACAGTAAGCAAAAAAGGGTCCAGCTAACCAGTAAAATGGCCACTGAGTCCATAACTAATGCATATACACTCCTCTCAGGAAATCCTTTAGTCCCTCACTCTGCCGGGAGGTATGTGTCCATCAGGCTGAGTTGTCTGATTTCCAGATTCCTCACCATCAGAAGATGCAGAGTAGGCGGGAGACTGAGAGGTGTCTGCTGCTGAATGTCTTGACAGCAAGTATAAGTGGTACTTGTTTGACAAACAATAGAGGAACCAGCCGCAGAAGCACACAAAAGAATTCAAATTACAGTGGTCTGAAGTTCATTCATGACACACAGTAGCACCACAGAACTAAACAAACTTGACCATGTCTCTCCTTTAGCATGTCCCCAAATTATGTGCATTCTCTTTGGGTTTGTTTTTCTTACCTTTATTTTCTAATATTTCCACAATAAAAGTGGACAACTTGTCACCATATAATTTTAAAGGAGGGCTTCCCTGGTGGTTAAAGGCTTTTGAAAATAGGCTGAATGTTCTCTGATTAATAATAACCAAATAATATATAGCTCAATTTTAAAATATGTCTATCCAAAATGGTTAAAATAAAATGTTTTGATGCTTAAAAGAGCAGATCTTCAGCAACATGGAGAATTTTATTACACAGGAGGACTCAGTTTTGAGGGTTCAGAAGAGACAAGCATTGTACTGGGAAATAATTTTGACAATACTCAGGCCTTGAGAACTAAGCAGAGAAAGGCTGAGAGCCCTTCAGATCATAAGGGTGTTTATCCTTCTTGTCTGAGGCAGAGCTAACAACCTGGATGAATTTAAATGATTGTAAGTTATATTTGGTTTTATCACTTAAAACTTTAGGAAAATTTAAATTTTCTGAGTTTATGATAAGGGATGTAATCCTTAAAAGACACTGTTGTTGATTCAACTTAGAAATAAAAAGTTCTCACTACAATATTGTAAAGTACTTAGCCTCCAACTAAAATAGATAAATAAAATTAAAATCCTACTGTACACATTTTCTTATCTTTTTGTTGTAGAAATAGAGCTTTCTTTATGGTCCCTAGGCAGGGGAAACAATATTTTCACCCTTTTTGTGATAATATTTTGTCTGAGTCTCTCTTCATAGAGCTAAAATTAAAAATTAGAAAAGAAGAAAAGAGGGCACCATATTTGTGAGAATTCATATAAATGGCTTATATTCTATTTCCAATCAATGCACAAGCAGTTGAGGCTTTTAAATTTCCTCCTAGTGAACATAGTAGGGTATATTATTAAAATAGGCTTAAGATTTTATGTGAAAATTTTAAAATCAGTTTTAAAGGAGTATAGGGAAAGTGAACATTTTTGAGCCCGCCCTTTGTGCCAGCTATTGGATAAGTGCTTAATATATATTCTGATTCATTCCTCTTTTCCTTTTTATGAGGTGGTTTTTTTTTTCTGTTTTGCAGATGAAAGAACCAAGAGTATTTATCCATAGTCACAACTGATGGGTGTCTGAGTTCTGTGGTGCAAATACAAACATTCTTTCAGGAATTTAGGGCCATATTTGTTACATAAATCATTGTCTAAATGTTTATACCATCTATATATTGTTCACTTGTTTTTAAAACTATTTATTATGGAAAACTTCAAGTATATTCAAAGGTAGAGAGCACAGTATAATTAATGCCCCCTACCCATAGTCACCCCCGCATTAACAACTTTCCACGTGGCTAGACTTGTTTTCCCCATGCCCCAGCCAGCTCACTGCTTTGCCTGTCTACTCCCAGATTATTTGGAAACAAGTCCAAACATCATAATTTTCTCAAACAAAGCCATAATACCATTAATCTGACATTAAAAACTAATAATAATTCCTTAATCTCATCAAACATGCAGTCAATGTCTAGATTTACCTGATTGTCAACAGTAAGTTTTTAAATAACTCAGAATCCACATAAAGTCCTTACATTGCCGGTGGTAGAGATAGCCCTTAAATACTTTAGTTCATAAATTCCCCCTTTATCTCTTTTATTTCCCCCTTGCAGTTTACTTATTGAGTAATCCAGGTCATGTGTCCTGTACAATTTCCTGTAGTCTAGATTTTGCTGATTACAGCCCATGACACCTTTTAACGTGTTCCCCTTTCCCCTGCTTCCACCTTGGTATAGGTAAAGATTGGCAGAGTTACTTAGCAGTTTTCATTAGTGTTTTAGAGATTTGATCAGATTCAGGTTCTACTTACTACTTTAAAATAAGCAAAATTGCTTCGTTAACTCTTCCTTCTATAACACATACAGAATTGCAGCATACATTATTAAGCCTGGTATCTTATTTTGGTTGGGAGCTGGGGATTATTTTGTTCGTGTGTTTTCAGTATGTGCAGAATCTCTGCCTGTGTGCTTTTGTTTGCCTTGACCATGGTAAGAGGGGGGCCCGCCTGGAGTGGAGGAGGAGCTGTGAGAACTGGCTGTGGACCACCTGCGTCCCACGCCTGATGGCCACAGACAGTGCTAGCATTTTTTTCCTTTATAAAATGTAGGATTCCTTCCAGCTTGTTCCATTTCCTTCCAGCTCAGAGTACTATCTTAAGCCTAACCATATACAGTTTTTAGGTTATTTGGGGGATATTCAAGGAACCAGCACATACCTTTCTAAATGACCCTAATTTAAACATGGTGTCTTTTTTCTTCCCCTTCTAGCCATTGTAAGCATGTGACAACCTATGAAGAATCCAATTTTTCTCTGAGTTACCAGTTTATACTAAATCTCTTCTCCTTCTTGCTGAGAATAAAGACTTCCTTTCTCCATGAAGAAGTGAGCTTAATAGAAAAGAGACTTTTTAAAGCAAAATATAATAAAACAAACAAGAAATCTTCAAGATCCAGGAAAGCAAGAAAATACTGAAAGAAATAAGTGGAAACTTGTCAGGGAAAACATTTTAATAATGAAAGTAATGTCATTGTAATATAAACTTCTAGAGAATGGTGAAAAATAGTGTTTTATTGCATACATGTACATACATACAAATACCTATATCAAACAAAAATGTATGTTGGAAAACAGGTGAAATTTATTTGAATTTAGTTTTAAATTATGAATGTTCTCATTGTTAAAATGTTAAGTAAATGGTAACCAGAAATTTGTATTCATTGTATTTTTTAAAAATATTTATTTGGTTGCACCAGGTCTTAGTTACAGCACGTGGGATCTTTAGTTGTGGCATTCAAACTCTTAGTTGTGGCATGTAGGATCTAATTCCCCAACCAGGGATGGAACCTGGGCCCCCAAATTGGAAGCTCAGAGTCTTGACCATTGGACCAGCAGGGAAGTTGCTTCATTGTATTTTAAAGCTAAATTTTCTTTTTAAAATAGATCACTTACTTACTCTTTACACCCCAAAGTAAATCCCAGATGGATCAAAGATCTAAACATTATAATCTTTTATATATACATGTATAAAGTCTTAGAAGAAAACAACTGTGAATGCTGTGATGATCTTGGAATGGGGAAGGACTTTCTAAAATGTCTCAAAACCAGAAAGCAAAAGGAAAAGGTTAATAATATGACTACAAAGTCAAAGGCAACTGAAAAGCTGGGAAAATATCATTATAGTGTACAATGAACAAAGGGATAAGCTGTCCCTTTAATATATCAATAGTGCTTGCAAAGCAATAGGAAAAAGATAGCTGAACAAGGCATATGAAAAGATAGCTTTCTGAAAAAACAAAATACAAAGGCCAAGCTAAAAACAGGGTAGTCAATGTCACTCATATTAAATGCAAGTTACAGAGATGTTGTTTCCCACATATTAGGTAGGCGAAGATTATATAGGTGTCTAATACCTGGTGTGGATATTGGAAAAAGCCATTCTGATTCATCATTCGTTTATTTGTGCAATAAATACTTACTGAGCAGCTTCTGTGTTCCACACACGCGCTAGACCCTGGAGGTACAGTACTGAACAAGGCAGGGACAGTTAGTATACAAATAAATAATATTGGGGGCAATGAAGTGCAATGAGGAAAAGATAAGATAAGGGATGTGTGGTCAGGTGGGCCCTTTAGTACAAAGTAAATGAAAAGGACAGTCTGGGAGGTGACATTTGAGCTGAAACAAACCTGTGTGAAATCGAGTTGAGGGGGCAGGCCATGTGGCCATCCAGGCGATCATTTTAGGCACAGGACACCCTACTCGGTGTCTACCCAGGAAAAATAAAAGCATCTTTCCACACAAAGACTTACACACAAATATTCACAGCAACTTTATCCGAGATTGGTAAGAGATAAACAGCCCAAATGGCCATCAACAGGTGAATGGATGTGGTATATCCATACAAGGGAATACTACCTAGCTATAAAAAGAAACACACTGTTGAAACAAGTCACAACACCTGCTAGGGAGTGGGGCAAGAGATTGAGGGGGCTATATAAGAAACACATTTTTCTAAGACAAAAAATTGCCCTCCAAAGACCTGAACTGGAAAATTATTTGTATATGAGCTTTATGGAATCAACAGCATGATCTGAAGTGCTGTGGTACTTGAGTGGAGTAAAGAGCTGAATTTACTAACAAGCCCTCCAGGGTGATTCTGATACACAATAGAGTGACAACCACTGGCCACATGGCCATCCACACAGCACTCAGCTCCACCTGCCACCCTCCATATCCTCCCCGGGAGCAGGGAGGTACTTCTGGAGCCCTTCAACCCCCGGGGGGCCTTAGTGGCTGGGCAGTCATTTCTTCTGTGCTGGCGTCACCCTGCCCATGTTGACACAGGGCGCCCTGTAGTTGGTCTCCTCAAGCCTTCTCTGCCTAAACACTTGGCCTCAGCTATATCTAAACGACAAAGAGATATAATTAGGAAATAAGGCAGAAGCAGGCACAGTGCCACAATGAATGTACACACAGCGCCCAATAGGAGCATAGAAGGGGAAGAGACCCACATCGCTGGGTGGAGGAGGACTTTTGTTCCCCAGCAGGCTGCCCCTGAGGAATCAAATTTTTTCAAACTGATTGCCCGTTCAGTTCAATTCAGTTCAGCCGCTCAGTCGTGTCCAACTCTGTGAATCCATGAATCGCAGCACGCCAGGCCTCCCTGTCCATCATCAACTCCCGGAGTTTACTCAAACTCATGCCCATTGAGTCGATGATGCCATCCAGCCATGTCATCCTCTGTCGTCCCCTTCTCCTCCTGCTCCCAATCCCTCCCAGCATCAGGGTCTTTTCCAATGAGTCAACTCTTCGCATGAGGTGGCCAAAGTATTGGAGTTTCAGCTTCAGCATCAGTCCTTCTAATGAACATGCCCGTTCAGGGGAAGTAATAAACTATTTTGCCACTAGAGTGACTTATATTTGTTGATTTGGATGGACTCTCTATTATGAACAAATCTTACTTAGTTTTTAAATTAAACAGCACAGCAGGGAAGCAATTTTATAATTTAGGTCACCATGGTAGCTCAGTTGTGGCTCAGTCGGTAAAGAGCCTGCTTGCAATGCAGGAGACCTGGGTTTGTTTCTTGGGTTGGGAAGATCCTCTGGAGAAGGAAATGGCAACCCACTCCAGTATTCTTGCCTGCAGAATCTCATGGACAGAGGAGCCTGCCAGGTTACAGCCTATGGGATCAAAAGAGTCAGACGTGACTGAGCGACTGAGCACATACACCTAAAAGGAAGTATGATAGAACCAAGTAGGATTTCACATGGTCTCAGATCTGGAAAATATTGTAATAGTGTGAAACCAGAGACTTCTAGGAGATGAAAATAGAATACACCAGATATTTCTAGGGAAAAAAAGAGTCCTGAAATCATTTTATGTCTTTGAATGATCAGTCTCAGCTGATGGTCATGTAAATAGTGCACACACGTGCTGAAAATGCTAAAAATTTCAAGTTTTTAGTTGCAGATCATCAAAACATTGTGAAAAGCACAGCTGTGTAACATGTATTAAATATGCATCTGCCTATCTACTTACCGAACACTTTAATATAATATTTCTCATTTAATATATCTAGATAAATCTATCTGCTATAACTATAGCAACAAAGTTTTGCTCATAGTAGACTAAAGTAAGAAATCTGTATGCAGGTCAGGAAGCAACAGTTAGAACTGGACAAGGAACAACAGACTGGTTCCAAATTGGGAAAGGAATACATCAAGGCTGTATATTGTCACCTGTTTATTTAACTTATATGCAGAGTACATCATGAGAAACGCTGGACTGGATGAAGCACAGCTGGAATCAAGATTTCCGGGAGAAATATCAATAACCTCAGATATGCAGATGACACCACCCTTATGGCAGAAAGCAGAGAAGAACTACAGAGCCTCTTGATGAAAGTGAAAGAGGAGAATGAAAAAGCTGGCTTAAAACTCAACATTCAGAAAACTAAGATCATGGCATCTGGTGGAAACAGTGACAGACTTTATTTTGTGGGGCTCCAAAATCACTGCAGATCGTGACTGCAGCCATGATATTAAAAGATACTTGCTCCTTGGAAGGAAACTTATGACCAACCTAGATAGCATATTAAAAAGCAGAGACAATGCTTTGCCAACAAAGGTCCATCTAGTCAAGGCTATGGTTTTTCCAGTGGTCATGTATGGATGTGAGGGTTGGACTATAAAGAAAGCTGAGCATTGAAGAATTGATGCTTTTGAACTGTGGTGTTGGAGAAGACTCTTGAGAGTCCCTTGGACTGCAAGGAGATCCAACCAGTCCATCCTAAAGGAAATCAGTCCTGCATATTCATTGAAGGGACTGATGCCAAGGCTGAAACGCCAATACTTTGGCTACCTGATATGAAGAGCCTGATGAAAAGACCTTTGAAAAGATCCCGATGTTAGGAAATATTGAAGGCAGGAGGAGAAGGGGACAACAAAGGATTAGAAGATGGAATGGCATCACCAACTCAACCAACATGAGTTTGAGTAAACTCTGGGAGTTGGTGATGGACAGTGAGGCCTGGCGTGCTTCAGTCCTTGGGGTCACAAAGAGTTGGACATGAATGAGCAACTGAACTGACTAAAGTAAAAACTTTAAACTTGTTAAACATGTTTCTTTAAAAATTTAAATCTGCTGAAAGTACAATGAGCGTGTGTTCCTACCAGAATACAGAACATTGGCCCAAACAGTTCATTAGTCTACAGGGAGCGTTCATACATTTTGAACATAGTTTTGTTAGTTCGGGTTCTTGTTTCTTCTTTTTTTCAATCCTTCCCCTGCCCCCCCCCCCCAAAAAAAAAAAATGCAGGTTTCTTTAGGCAGTTTGAGATTCTGTTAGACTTAAAAGCAACAGGACTGTCTCCTCCCTGCCAGCCGCGGCTCCTCTTGCAACAGATCAATCGTCATTGTCATGAGGACATAATGATGGCTCACTGCGGGGAGCCACAAACTGGGGAACCCTGGGTGCCTTATCTTACTGAAGCGTGGCTTTTTCCTCCTGCCTAAAAGCAGCAGACCTGTCACTGACATTCCCAAGTGGCACTTCTACAGCCCAAAGGAAGGAGGCCTAGCACTGACGGCAGAGTATCTGTAGTTCTTTGTTATCTCTTTGGGTGCCCCCCTTCCCCGTATTGGCACAAAGCCACCTAAGGAAATTTAAAAAAAAAAAAAGCACTACTAATTCAATCCTGGATTGACACAGGAAACTATACTGCTCAGAAGGAAAGAAGGACCATTATTTCTGAGTCTCAAAGAAAACCTCAAGCAGAATCTCCAAAGTGTGGCAGCTGTAAAGAGTTCTGCGAGTTATTATGTATTATTGTGTTAGTCTCTCAGTCGTGTCCGACTCTTCGACCCCATGGACTTTAGTCTGCCAGGCTTCTCTGTCCATGGGGTTCTCCAGGCAAGAATACTGGAGCAGGTAACCCCGAGGGTTCTTCCCAACCCAGGGATCGAGCCCAGGTCTCCTGCATTGCAGGCAGATTCTGTACCATCTGAGCCTCCAGGGAAGGCCCTATTATATACTGTAGGTAGTTAAAAGTGTTTTAAAATGTATGTTTTTATCTTGAGTATGTAGCTGGTAACTTTTTTTTTGCTGGTAACTTTATAAAATTTAAAATGCCTCTGCAATCTTGAAAGCTGAGTGAATTCACAGTATCAAATCTCACAAAATGTTTCACGGAGCTCCCTTGTTTGGG